TCGTCATAGATCTCTCTAGTTTCTGCAGTAGTAGCTAGTTTTGTGATACAATCATCAGAAAGCTGCCATTTTTCATCATGTGATACCAATGGAATGCAATTGAACTTTGCAATTATTGCTCAAAGGTCAACCGTGTCCTACCTCCTCTGGTAGAGTATACTCTAATATCTAATAACTGTACTCTAATATCTATGACATGTGGGTGGGCGCATTTTCATTGGACTCGCCGCATAGGCGGGTATTAGGTAGTTTGGTTGTCTGTCTGTCATTCATTCTGACCCTTTTAAATATCTTTTTAAAAATATATAACTTTAAAACCGCGTACTCTGGACTGATAGATCTTTCTCTACAGCTGGAAAAAGTCTTTCTTTAATTCTAATAATGTCTAAAGAGCAGCGCCAGGAAGAAAAAGCTTACAAAGTAAGAAAAATGGATTTAAAAATACAGCAAATGTGCTGGCACTCTCGACGTTGGTAAAACCATTTTCCAGTAGATTTTTGTCTTCTATTTCATAATATGTGTAGAATTTTTTAACTCTTACTTGGTAGCGACTTATGAGCCTTCAAACTTTAGCTCGGCCAGCTTTGAGAAGGACTGGAGAGGAATTATGGTAGTCTCGCTAGCCAGACCATTCCCCAGCCTACAGCCAATGACTGTAGGCTGGGGGATGGTCTGGCTAGCGAGACTAGAATTATGGTAGGCTAGAGGTACTAAACTGTTTCAGCTCTCTCACATCTGTCTAGGCAACAGAATTGTGCCTTCTTTTCTATCATAAGTCACTTGTGAGAAGAAAAAATTTTAAGCTTCTTCAGCCACATGTTGTACTAAGGCCATTTTTAAAAATAGTTACTTTAGTTAGACCACTCCTCTTTATTATCACGTGATCTTATTCCACCACTGTGACTAGCATTTCTTTGATGTGGTATAGATATCATAATTCTTGGAGTACAACCCACAATGCTGTGATCATATAATATCACTATAAATAGCTAAGGTAATAAATATTAGTCACATACCTAACAAGAATAAAAAAAGAAATTTTTGGAAGGGACTTATGTTCTTGCTTTCCTGCATGGGCCCAAGGGGCAAAGGCATATGTCCCTGCCTTAAAAATATTTACTTCCATTTTTTATTTCAGTTGTATTAGTACATAGAGTTCAATGTGCAGTAAACCAAATAGTATAATAATTTCAAATCCATGTAAATAGTAGCTTTGTGATACTTGTGCAGACCATCCTAGTTCTTTATATGCAAACCAGTTATGGCGGCGAGTCCAAGCACCGTAGGTGTCTCATTAGGTCCAATTTTCCATTATTATAGTTATTTTTATTGTATTTTTAAAATTAAAAAACCATTTTCCAATTTAATTTTGAAGTTACCTGATAAAAAATAACAAAAATGATAAGAAAAGGAATTACAATTGTAGCTACAAAAACATCAGATCACTCAGCATAATTATGCTGTCACAATAACTGGATATACACAATAGTAACTCATTAAAGTGAGATCTTATTTCTGTCCACTGTTCTCTTTCCCAAAAAGCATTGTTAGAACCACTGATAAATGTAGAGCTAAGTCTGTCAAAACATCACACGACAAATTGCTAGACAATTTCTTTCTATGTTTAGAGCATTCAGGCATATTGTATAGTCTTTAAAACTGTTAAAAAATGATGGTATACCTATAGCACGCTCTTTAAAAACATGCTAGTGCCCATCAATGTGCCAAAAGATGCTTTGCAAAGTAACTAGCAACTTCTTTCCTTCTTGCAGTTCAGTGGCCTTAATAAGAGGCAGAAAAAGATGTAAGGTAATTAATTAAATCATTATATAGCTTGTCCTTTTGTGTTCGTTCCTGTTGAATTGGATGCAACACTGAAGACAAAGGATGTGAAGCATTTGCATCTATTTCAATAACTTCATTTGCAACTGAAGATGCACCATTGCCACT